AATTTGGTGAGTCAACACAAAATTCGGTGGCCTGATTGGAAAGGTGTGTAAGAGAAAAAGACACACCCCACCTAGAGGCGGGAATAGGATGTGCAAGGAGAACCTTGTGTTTGATCGCCATGCTTATTCGCATAGAGTATTTGCATATTGTACAGAGTTGTGAAATGTTATCATAACTGCTTAGATATATTAAAGGGCAAAATAAGGTTGGGTTTCTTGTGTCGCTGAGTCAACATGTTTACTCTGTTAAGAGTGTGACCTGTATGCTACATGGGTCATGTAGCTGAGCAGAGATGGGGGGGGGAACCCCCTCTGTTTCTTGTCCCTGTTCTTAGGAACAGAGGAGACTGGGCTGAAATAAAGGATTTCCTTGCTTTCCAGCTAAAACTACTCTTCTGAGTGATTCTGCATTTGAACTTATACTTGGCTCAGCAACCTTTCTTAAGAGCTGAAGGGCCTCTTCCTGGAATTCTTTTCTGATGCACACCCTGGTTGTGGCATTTTTTCTGGCGCACCTGGGGGCTGCTCGGACCTGCCCATCCCATTTGTGTGTCTCTGCTGCTTCCTACGGACGAAGATGTTTAAGACTCGAAAGGGCAACAATGAAGGAATTAGAAGAGAGCCTCAAGTGTACGGAGGTGTCCCTGAAGACCAAGACCGTCCACACTCTTGTATTTGCAGTCACCATGCATGGGTGTGAAAGATGACAGGGGAAAAAATATTGATTTGTTTGACATGTAATGCTGGAGGAGAGCTTCGCGGATATCCTAGACAGCCAGAAAGACAAACCAGTGGGTCCTAGATCAAATCAAGCCTGAATGATCTCTAGAGGTACAAATGTGGGAACTGAGGATGCTCTGTTTTGGACACATCATGAGAAAGCAGAATTCTCTGGAAAAGACAATGATGCTGGGAAAAGTGGAAAACAGGAGGAAAAGAGGAAGGCCAAAGGAGCAATGGATCAACTCCCTAAAGGAAGCCATAGGCTTGAGTTTGCAAGAACTGAGCAGAGCTGTTGATGACAGGAGATGGCTCATTCATAGAGTCACCCTATGTCTGAGCAACAATAGCAACGAAGGCAAAAGCCGGCTACCTCCTTGAGATAATTCAGAATAAAGACCAAGGACACGAAGCTTCCTCATCCTTTTGAGACAAAGTCTTGTGTCTTAGACTTTCCTTGGGTGGGTGAAGAAAAGACAATGACTCCCACCCCCACCCTGGAGGCCTCAAATCAAAACTAGGCAATCAAATACCCATAGACATTGATTGAACCCAGCCGTGGGTGCAGGCTGATGGGTTATGCTTTTCTACTACCAGATTTCAACCAGCACTTTGTAGTAAAGTTTTGGGCATCATCTGTCCATCACTTCCTATCAATAGCCAGGAAATAACACAAACAACTGTTGAAAGAAGCTGACTATTAAAATGCGGTTAATAAAGTTAAGGAGGCATTTTCCACATCTTAGACTTCCTGCCATCTTTTTTTGAGTTTTTGTAATGGAATAAAATTTCCAGGAAATGAAACAATGTCTGTTCCAAAGGAGCTTCCTGCCCCATCCATGTTGTTTTTCCTTTTTAATTGGCTGTCAGTTTTCAGAGTGGCCTTTTCTTTATTCGCGCAGTTTTAAATGCCCATATGGAATATAGTAAAAAAAAATTAAAAACAAATTTTAATTTTAATCTAGTTAGACTAATTTTGATCAGATGCAGGTTACTTCAATAGCATTATCTAGGTCCAGCCATTTGCTGGATCTTCTTTCGTGCCCATGAAGGTGCGTAGGTCCAGCCATTTGCTGGATCTTCTTTCATGCGCACGAAGGCGCGTAAATTGGATGCACATAAAAGTTGCATGGATTGAATTTCTCCAGTCACAGAAAAGTTGTCCTGTATCCAAGTAGCCCCCTTTTAACTGATTATTCTTTGACCTTCCTACTTTTCTTTTAAGTCTGTAAAGTGATGGTCCAGCTAGAATCCCATCCCGGCGGGAGACATTCTTCAGCATTCAGCAGTATGTGTTGTTTTTGCTCTCTATAGGTTTAGCCTGGCCTCTTCTGCCTTTTCTATTTAGAGCTTGAGGTGTGGAGAAAGAGAGGTGTCCTTGATTTCGGTCCTGGCCTATGGGTACTGTCACTCCGATTCAGCACTCGCCTCTACAGTAGGCCTCTGCACTAACACAACCTTACAATTAAATAATAATAATGCAAAGGAAACAAAACACACAGTAATCAGGTTGATACTGTAAACTCTAAGGTATATTTACATTGCTCAAAGAAAGTATGTTACTGGAAAAACTTGTCCCGTCCGTGAGGGACAGTGTATAATAAGTCAACAAGGCACTGATCTCTATCAATCAGCACTCACCGTCATGCCCGGCTGCATCGACCCAGTTATACATGTTACAGAAACTTGACCCATCAACAAAGACGGATGCTTCTTTTCTTGCAGACCCAGAAGCAAGACGTGACCTGCGGAGCTAACGAGATCCTGTTAAGTCATCGATATATGGCTCACTGATCCACGTCCACGGCTCCAGTAAGCTATAGATCAAGCCTGTGTCAATTCATCATAGAATGAATGGCAGACTCCCCCACTGATTCCTATCCGAACGTTAACTTTGCAGCTGCCACACAGGGCCCCAATACTGTTTCCTTATCAGATTTACAAATAATTTCACCTTCAGCCTTCGCGAATACATTGAATACCTCTACGGGGAGGAAACAGTCAGACAGACCCGGAGACTGGAAAACCACTTTCAGAACATGGCCAAGAAGCCCGAAAAACCCACAACAACCATTAGATCCCGGCCGTGAAAGCCTTCGCGAATACAATTTCACCTTCAACTTGTTTAGAGCTGCATGCATGGGTTTACAACCCTATTCTATCAGCTCCCTGATTTGGCTGCTTTCGGGACTGCCTCTTGGCCTCACACTGCTGGACAAGGGTCTCTTCAAATTGAGAGAGGCTATACATTACCGCCTGCCTCCAGGCTGAATGCTCAGATGTCCACATTTCCCATCTGTTGAGGTCCATTCCTAAGGCCTTCAGATCCCACTTGCAGATATCCTTGTATCGCAGCTGTGGTCTCCCTCTGGGGCAATTTCCCTGCACCATTTCTCCATATAGGAGATCTTTTGGAATCTGACCGTCAGCCATTCTCACGATGTGCCCGAGCCAACGTAGACGTCGCTGTTTCAGTAAAGTATACATGCTAAAAATTCCAGCTTGTTCTAGGACTACTTTATTTGGAACTTTGTCCTGCCAGATGATACCAAAAAATGCGTCGGAGACAACACATATGGAACATGTCCAGCTTCCTCTCCTGCCATGCACAAAGGGTCCAGAACTCACTGCAGTACAGGAGTGTGCTTTGGACACAAGCTCTGTAGACCTCACAGTCCTGTAAACAGTTCTCAGTCCTAAATTTGGAGTGGAAAGAGGAAGAACAGCATCTAGTATGTATGGACACAGCTCTATGAACTAAATGCAGAATGAATTGTCTCTCTGCAGAATAAATTGTCTCTCTGCCCTGTGTCCATTCTTACACTGGTTGTGAGATCAATGGCACAATGGGAAGCCTGCTAGAGTATGGGAGTGTTTACACAACTGCCTTCTGCTTCGCATTTAGGCACGAGGGTACTGGCGTATGTGCCAAAGACATTGTGTTGAATGAGTGTGCCAACAGAAATAATTCAGAGCTGACAAAGAGAGCAGATCGTATCTTGGGCAACAGGAAATTCTAAGAATGTGGCGATAATATATGTGCATGTCTTTTAACATGAAAATAAAACAAGGTCGCGCATGTAACATCCTATTCTAGTACTGTGTGGATCACTGCCAGTTAAGTCTCTTGGGGTAAAAGACTTTCTAATTAGCAGAAGGCCTGACCCTGGCTTCATCTGCTACCCCGTCGGGCTTCTCTGTTCTCTCTAAGTTTATCTGGAAGTCTCACCGTAATTGAAAGGAAAAGGACTTTTCCCTGGCAGGAGTGCATGTTACCATATGACTTATCTCTGCTGTCAGTTCCAGTATCTGGCTTTGTACACGGCTTGGTCTTGATGGGTAGTTAAGAGCCATTAATTTTACAACAGTCCTGCTGAAATGTGAATACACCGTTTGTTGATACGGATCAAGACAATCGCTTGCATTCTTGGATTGTCTTGGGTGTGTGTGTCTATGTGTGGATCGTCATGCTCAACAATTTGTTTGCCACACATATCGCTGCACCACCTGGCCCCTGATCACTTCATTCCCTCTATTACATGTCTTCCCACTATTTTCCATCCACGCACATACCAATAACCCTCCTTCTGAGAACTACTGGTCTACTCTACATGGTGATTCAAGCATGCATCAGCAGCTGCTGTGTGTCAGCTAGATGTGCAACCCATTATGCCTTAGCGGCTGCGGGCATATATATTCATGTGCTGGAGAACAAGCCATGTTTTCCCCTCTGAGCAAGCCCTCCTGGCAACACACGGACACTCTTCTTTAGCTTCTGTGGTAGCTGTAGCTCCATCAAGCTACAGAAATGTGTGAGCCAGCAGCCTGTTTTTTTGCTCCCTCCAAACCAACCTGCTTGTCCTAGTGAGGGACATTGTCTGGTTGTCAGTGTGTGTGTGTCTTTTCACGCCCTGGCTTTGCGTCTGTCGTAACACAATCATGTGCAGGATTTTTCTGTTGAAACCCCTGCCAGCGTCCTGGCTTGAAGATGACAGCCTAATGTCTTAACACCACAAGCTATCGTTGAGCGTGCTCTGCTAGTGAAAGAGACACACGCGGAGGGGGTAAGCCTTGAACACACTCTGCCTGCTATATTATAAAGTGGAACCTTCAGTGGAAAGTAAACTTGATTAAGCAACCAGCTTGCCGTGGCACGCTCTCTGCTTTTTAAAATTTATTTATTTTAAGGCTGAGGCACACTTAGCCCCTCCCTAGCCCGAGAAACAAGGGAGGGGCTTTCGTGGGTTTCCTTTAAAAGAGCCCACAGCCCCTGGCAGCTGCTGAGCAGAGAGCACACAGACTTTGAATCCAGTTGACATACTCTAGGCACCGCATTGCTGAAGTATTTCCTCCCTCCCACCCCTTGCAAATGCTTTTCAGAGGTTCTGTGTACTTCTTCATCGGCATCCTCTCAAAACCAGGAGCCATGCTTCCTTCTTGCTCAAGCGGGGGCATGCTCTTCCTTGAATAGAAACTTTTTTCTTCTTAAATTCAAGCAACAGTCTGCGTACATCACAGAACACCAGCCTCATCAACTTGGCTTGAAAATGTTAAGAAACCTCTAAGAAGCTCAGAAAAAAAACACTCCTAAGGGTCACAGGTAAGTCCATTCCCAAACCAAGCCTCTTTACGTTAACAAGTCTTTGTGCAGCCTTTGATTGTCTTCACAGGTGGGAAATATTTGCGGAGTGGTCCTGTAGTTCTGTGTGTAGTGTGTTTTTTTAAAGTATAGACAAGACTAAGGCATCTGTGCTGTCAGATAGATAATGATCAGAATTTGCAATACCGAGTGGAAGAAGCAGAAGGTTGGAAATTTGTTCCTGTTAAAGATTGAAATATTCCCAACTGTGCTGTTTCAGCTTGCCATAAGCTGGTTGGTGCTTTCGTCTCTGGGTTAGCAGAGGAAGAACAGAAGTGTGTTGCCGAGTCAAGTATTTGTGATCGATCTGGAGGAAGACAGACAGTTTAAATTCCCTCACAGGTCAAGCGCTTCGTCTTGAATCTTTCCTGAACAAGGTGGGTACCTTGCGTGCCCCCTTCTTGATAACTGAACACTTGTGATATATCCTGCAACTGCACTTGTTCAATAACTCCACATTTTTAGGGCTGCTGGTTGTCTACTCTTTTGTGATGTAAATCTTTGGTTGATAGTCCATGAAGGTTGATTGGCACGGCCTCCATGGAATCAAAGATTAGGAAACGATCTTCTCAACCCCAGTGTGTTGTAGTCTCCCAAGTGCCACCTGGTACAAAAGTCCTTCTCGAGAAGAAGGTGGGGAAAGTAATGCTTTCCAGATATTGTGAGCCTGCAACACTTAACCTTGCTCGCTGTTGATTATGTTGGCTAGGATTGATGGGAGCTATAGCCCGTCAATGGGTAGAAGGCTACATTTTTTGCCCATCTACAGCTCCAGTGTCGGACTGGATCTTGAGATGTCCACACAGAGCTATGAAACACACCCAGGAATCCAGATGATAGCTGAACTACATTTTTTGCCCATCTACAGCTCCAGTATTGGACTGGATCTTGAGTTGTTCACATAGAGCTATGAAACACACTCAGGAATCCAGATGATAGCTGAATATCAAAAAAAAAAATTCTTAACTGCTAGAGCAGTACAATGGAAATCATTGCCTTGGGAGGTGGTGAGCGTTCCAATGCTGGAGGCATTGAAGAGAAAATTGGACAGCCATCTGTCAGAACTGCTTTGATTTGGATTCCTGCCTTGAGCAGAGGGTTGGATTTGATAGCCTTACGAACCCCTTCCAACTCCATGTCTCTATTATTCTAAGTTCAGTTGCATTTGATCAGTCCCATGTGTCCCACCAGGATATGTGGTAAAGTGAGTCCTGGTTATGATCTTTATGAAAAAGACCCATTTATGATGCCTTAAAACTCTGGAAATGGGGATACAACAACAACAATAATAAAAACTTTAGAACAGCAGAGCTGGGAGGAACCCTATGTTTTCCTTGATGTTTCTTTTTCAAAGCAGTGCTATAAGCTGCACAGTCCCAGAACACCCCCAGAAGAAGGAGTAAACCATTTTGGTGTTGCTCTATCTAAAACACCAATAATTATAAACCCCGTGTGTTGTAGTGGATAGAGTGACGGACCCTATGGATCATGGGCTTCGGTTTCTGTCAAGGAGGCCCAGTGAGGAATTGAGTTCCCAACCTCCAGCTCTGCAGGCAGAGACATAGACAAACATGGGCTTCGGTTTCTGTCAAGGAGGCCCAGTGAGGAATTGAGTTCCCAAACTCCGGCTCTGCAGGCAGAGACGTAAACCACGGAGCTATCCAGCAGTTCATTGATGTGATAAAGAATAAGACTGAGAGTTGGTCGTCTCTAGGCTTGGGAATGAGCGACGCACAGAATTTGTCGAAATGGACTTTTCCCTTGCTGGCCAGGAAAAGGTAGATGGTACCCTTTTCTAGACCTACTGCGGAACTGCACAAAAGTGGGCATACAGAGGGCTTCTGCAATGCACTTTGAAGTGGTGTGCCAAGCAGTCTCTCTCTCTCTCTCTCTCTCTCTCTCTCTCTCACACACACACACACACACACACACACACACACACACACACACACACACACACACACAACACAACACAACACAACACAACACAACACTTCGGTTTGGGACCCAATTTGATCTGATCGAGTTTGGGGCTCCCTCAGACCTGATCTGATCCTAATTTGGGCCAATAAATGGATTTCTGAATATTTCAAAATTTGAAGCCATCTCCAGATACAACTGAGTGTGTGGTTCATGCAACTCACACCCTACATAGCTTGGGTCAAGGCTATCTGAAGGACTAAGTTGTCCCACATAATCCTCCTTTGTGTCTGAGATCTTCTGGGGAGTGCCTTCTCTCAGTCCTGCCACCCTTGTAGACACGTTGGGCGAGGACTCAAGAGTCCAGATCTACGAATTCCGTCCCACATGAGGTTCAATAGACCCCTTCCTTCTTCTCCTTCTACTGCTGGTGAAAGCCCTTCCTTTTAAAACTGACTTATGATTCATGAACTCCGGAGTTAAGTTTTCAGTGGGGTGTACAGCATATTCTGTTTTTCTAAGAAAACCAGAAGCCTTCAAATTCCATTTTGCTTGTGTGATATACATATACCAGATCTATGTCATGGTGGATGTTGACTTCCATCATCAACATGCCTAGGCTATGACAAATAGCCATAGTTTGACACACAATTCAACACTAGGTGGTCCCCAACCTTGGGCCTCCAGATGTTCTTGGACTACAACTTCCAGAAGCTTTTACCACCACCTCTGCTGGCCAGGATTTCTGGGAGTTGAAGTCCAAGAACATCTGGAGGCCCAAGGTTGGGGACCACTGCTCTAGACAGAAGATTGGTTCCAGGTCTTGGATCCCCAGATGTTCTTGGACTACAACTCCTATAAATCCTAGCCAACACAGCAAGGGGTGAAGGCTTCTGGGAGTTGCAGTCCAAGAACATCTGGGGACCCAAGGTTGGGAACCACGGATGGCGGGTTGACAGGGGTCAAGAAGGAGAAGCCATGTTCTCTCTCACACTTACCCAGTGTTTTTTTTCCACTTCCAGTCATTTACTGGCTAGAAAACAGCACTATATCACTCCAGTCTTCACAGCCTCACAGACTGAGAAATTAGGTCAAATATTTTGAGCGCGCACAGTGGCTGGGTGTGCTAAGAACATTCCTCTTGCATCCTTTTCAATCACAGAGGCAGGAAGACGATTATCCAAGAGGACCTGCTCCTGCTAATTCCCATATATGGTTCTAATTCAACTCTACAAATCCATTTAGGATCATGGCATGTGGATCAAACAGGGATGTCGCCCCTAACCAACAGCGTTTTTCTTCCAGATTTGCAAAGGATGGCCCTGGATCACGCCCATATTTGCCTTTGGCCGGAGTTAGCCACTCCATTCATCATGTCAGCCGTTCTGCGGTGGTGAGCCAGCCAGACAAAGATTCTCCTCAGAAGCTGTAGAGCTCGCTCCATATTTCAAAAGAGCTCTGCGAGGAAAACGGCGAGACTAGTCCGAGAGGAATAAAAAGGGTGAGGTGAAAAAAAATGTCCGTCTAAGTTTATTTCCCCCCTCAGGCTACAGTATTCTAACTTCTTTCCCGCCCTTTTGATCTGGGAATCAAGCAGGCACATCTCAGCCGTTAGCCCAGGAGGGAAAAGGAGGGAACAAACATTAGGAAACAAAAATAGGAAAATTTCGTGTTGCGTCTTGACGAAGTCAGGAGAGTAGGGGAAAACCCCAAAGCGAGCAAGATTCCGTTGCCGGGCGTGTGTGCTTTGAGCCCAAAACAAGATCAGCTCCATATAAACAGACGGTGGGAATTTATATTTTGTTAGTTTAGCTTGCTATGAAATTCTCTCGTCAGACTCGAGGACCAGCATCTATTTGCCAAGTTTTAATATGTAGGATCCCACTGTAATAGTTTATTTGGCCCTACTGGGAAATGGACCTTGGACTAATTTTTAATAGCTTTGAAATGCAGCTTTTTGGAGAGAGTTGCCATCTCCAGCCCAGCCCACAAGCTCTCCTGGGAGTAAGACATCAATGTACTTCAGATAAAAGAACATTTTAAAGAAATTACACAAGATAGCTCAGTGGTTTAGCTCTCTACCTGTGGAGCCAGAGGTTGGGAGTTCAATTCCCCACTAAACCTCTTTGACAGGAGCTGTACGTGATGATCCATAAGGTCTGTCACTCTATCCACTACAACACCCTGGGTTTATAATTATTGTGTTTTAAGTAGAGCATACACCAAAATGATTTACCCCTTCTTCTGGGGGGTGTTCTGGGACTGTGCAGCTTATAGCATGATTTTAAAGGGACACTCCTAATGTGTCAGGCAAAAAACAAAGGGAAAACATAAAAAAATAAAGACAAAAAGATTGTGGCACCTTGAAGATTTTGGGCAACATGATCGCACCAGAATGATGCAATGCAGCCTATGGGGGGTTAGTAATAAACTCCAAGCTCTAAAAATCTCCCCCCCCCAGTGCCTTACTGGCACCTAACAGGTAGGTTTCTCAATCCTCATTTGTTCATAAATTTGAATGCGGTTTATTGCCAGTAAATATGTTTAGGATGGCATCTGGGGAAAAGCCCTGCCGCCCCCACTCCCTGTGGTTTCCGGATTATTTCCTCCTGCCACATTCCCGTGCACGAGGCAAAACCAAACGTCCACACAGGTTCTTCTTAAGTTTGGCACTGCCAAAGAACAGGAGGTTTCCACCTAGAAAAACGTCAGAACCACCAATAAATACATAAATTAATTAATTAAAATAAATGAAAAGCTTGCGGCTATGGGCTTCTGCGAAGAAGCCCGCTCCGAAGCAGGAGAGCCCCCTTCTGGCTGTTTTGTTCCCTACCAGGCCTGCAGAAAGAATAAATCGCTTATTCTGCTCAGCTCAACACAGGACAGGATGTGGAGGAACTTCCATTAAAGATTCATTTTATTTTATTTATATATCACCCCATGAGTGCAAAAGCACTATTCTGGACTATTTGTCAACAGATTAAAGCAAATTACAGAAAACTAAACAAATGACTAAGAACACTAACTATATATTAAAAAACCAGATCATCTTGCTGGGAAATTGCCAGATTTGTAAGAAGTGCCTGAAAATGGAATTGTTTAAAGCTGCTTTATATTAACATGTTCCAGTCAAGGTTCAACTGTGGTTGGAAATGTATTTGCTTGCGTTGGATCTGGCTAGTTGTGTGGTCTCACTTTATCATTTATTATTTGTCAGTGCTGATATTGTATTATTTGTAGTTTACATGTCTTGGCTAATGCGTCACACTATTGGGTTGTATATATAGTTTACATGTCTTGGCTAATGCGTATCACACTATTGGGTTGTATATAAGTTGACAGAATGAATGAATGAATGAATGAATGAATGAATGAATGAATGAATGAATGATCATATTAGCTCACATCCCACATATGCACCTCACTCTGACACCAACTGGAAGCCCAGTGTCCAGGACTGGGAGTCCTCAGTGGTTGACCCTGAAATCTCCCCGCTCCTTCAAAATCCCTTATTCATGCCTTTTGACCCCAGTGGTTCAGGTCTGTGGCTGTGGAGCCAGAGGTTGGGGGTTCGATTCCCCACTGGGCCTCCTTGAGAGGGGCTGAACATGATGATTTGTAGGGTCCCTTCCAGCTCTGCAGCTTTATGATGTTGTCGATGATGATGAAGTTACAGGAAGCTAGATTTTGGCTGAATATCAATAAAAAACATCTTAACTGTTAGAGCAGTATAACAATGGAACTAATGGCCACAGGAGGTGGTGAGTGCTCCAGCACTGGAGGCATTCAAGAGAAAATTGGACCAACAACTGTCAGATCTATTTTGATTTGGATTCGTGCCTTGGCGTTTGGATTTGATGGCCTTACAGCCCTCTTCCAACTCCATTATTCTATGATCCTATGATTATGTGTTTCAAGATAAGAGTTTAGAATATAGGCAGAGTTTCATCATCTGATTAAGGAAGTCTTTTTGAGATGGACTTTAAAACAGAACCAAACTGCATGCATTTGCATAGGGCAGAAACCCCGGGTCTCAAGACAAAAAGCCCAAAGATTTTTTTTTTTAATGCTGGAAAAATAAAAAAGGAGAACAAGACAAAACATTGGAACATTTGAAAGATGGACCATTTTAGTTTGAAAGATGGACCATTTTAGCTTTTTGTGGAGCACAACTCGCATCTTCAGACAAATCTCTTTATTGTTTAAGACAATCAGTGTAAGCTCCAAATTGAAAGCAGGCCTACCCATGGGTCTTCTGATCAGATGTGGATTTGATCTGGTTCAGACCCGCTTGGACATGATCCCAATCCTTGCACATCTCATTGGTTTTTTTCACTGTGAAACTGAAAGGGGTATGGCTTATTTTTCATGAGTATGCATGGAATGATAACCCCGTCAAAGCGGATTATGCCTTCCACATTCTAGACAGCGGGGTTCAGGGAAGCTGCCCTGATCCTTTCTATTTCTTCTGAAAAATTGCCATCACTTCCCACACCGCTGTATAGCAAAACTGGGGAAATCGTAGAGCATTCAGAGCTGATAAATCCGGACAGGTTTCCTACAGCTGGTTTGGGAAAAGGTTGTGCTATTTGCTTTTAACGTTTAATTTAATATGTTGGGCGCCTGCTAAAACACTGGCTGCTGCTTTGCCGTGTGATCTGTGTGCGTGTGTTCACAAAGATGGTTTTATTTTAACACGGTCTTGCTTCAAATTCGTGCAAATTGATTGCAAATGACTGTGCTTCATTTCTGTAATTTGATGACTGGGTGACAGCATTGCTTTGTTTTAACGCTTGGCATTTTGGGCATGTAATAATCTTAGAACTGCACAGTTGGAAGGGACCCTATAGATCATCAAGTCCACCCCCTGTCAAGAAGGCCCGGGGGGAATCATCAAGTCCACCCCCTGTCAAGAAGTCCTGGGGGGGAACTGAACTCCCAGCTTCTGGCTCTGCAGCGAGAGACTCTAAACCACTGAGCTGTCCAGCAGTTCAGCACTGAAAGATTTGCAGACAGGGTTGTTGTAAGAGGGAGAAATGTGCATTTGTCTGAACTTCTGACCTTTGGATGAAACATGCATTATTCTCTCGCATATGAAAAGAAATGATTGTTGGAAAATGGAACTACAAATGTCTGTATAAAAATAATATCCTCATTATGTCTAGAAACCATCAAGGGGATATTTCTACCAGATTGCTCATTCATTTCTTAGATTATTTTTTTGTCCACTCGCTATGCCAAGTCCTTTAAAAGTTTTTGTTTTACTTAAAAAATGTAACAGCTGAAATGAAAATACAATAGGCCTAGAAATAAAATGATGATACTTTTCCAAGAAAAGGAAGGAAGGAAGGAAGGAAGGAAGGAAGGAAGGAAGGAAGGAA